CCTCTCTCACTGTGTCTCTCTCTGTCAAATAAATAAAATCTAAAAAAAAAGAAAGAAAACATAACAAAAAATAATCTTGAAAAATGTAACAGGACCTATCGAACCACAAGACAGTTTAAGTCTGTATAAGCAATTAATCAATAACTCTCTACAAATATTCTTCTCTTTCCCTCCTGCCTCCTCTCCCAATCATAGGAGATCAGAAATCATACCAAAGAATCCTGCTTTGAACTCACTGTGCCAGGGAAACTGGATAAAGGCAAACAGACTCCAATGGACAAAAATGTGCCTTCCAAATCAATTCTGATGCCACATTTCAGAACCGAGACAGCCACAGAAGTCATTTTCAGCACCGCGCCATCTGCTGCCAAACGGTTACAGGGCCCTGCAAGCTCCTGTCCCGGCTGTAACTCCCCCACCTGCAGCCTCACCTTGGCACCCTGATTCCCAGAACTGTCTCACTGCCATCAGGCATCCAAACTATTCCCCACGCTAAAGTGGGACAGAATGGTGCCTTTTCCCAATACCGATTAAAATCCCAATTCCATGAATACAGTCATTAATGCTACTTATTTAAACCTTAAAATCCCTATCGAATAGATCAATTCGGTAAGTATTTACTGAATATCCACTACAACAAACCTGCAATAGGGTTTTATATACAAAAGAATCTCTCTTCCCGGCCTAAAATGTTGGACTTCTTCCTTTATTCCAAACAAGTGATAGCTTCCATATCAAGAAATTCCTGCCATCTGGTGTCCAAATTTGACACTGCACCGAGCAACCTCTATTTGGTATAGGCAAGCACCCTAGACTAAAAAATGTTCTATGTAGCAGTATTTAAAAATCCATTTGGACTAGGGGCGCCTGGGTGGCTCAGTCAGTTAAGCGTCTGCCTTCGGCTCAGGTCATGATCCCGGGGTCCTGGGATCAAGCCCCACATCGGGCTCCCTGTTTGGCAGGAAGCCTGCTTCTCCCTCTCCCTCTGCTGTTCCCCCTGCTTGCGTGCTCTCTCCCTCTCTCTCTGTCAAATAAATAAATAAAATCTTTAACAAAAAAAATCCATTTGGACTAAAGGGTTACAAGAAAAGACCATTAATTTAAATGAATCTTAAATGAAGACTATTAACTTAAATGAAAACTGAAAGAATATGGAAAAGATGGGGCATTCTCCCATCTCCAGCAAATTGAGGAAAAACTGAAATACTGAAAATGATATAGCCAAAACACATCTACACCAGCACCAGCCCTGGTCAGCCTTTCAACCAATGCTGACCACACTCCTCCTAAGAGCTCAGCAAAATAGAAAGGGTGCAGACTGACGACACAAACAACTGAAAAAAGTAAAAGACAAACTAAGAATATAGAGACCTCTTTTAAGTTATACGGTACCGTTGCATTTTCCATAGTCCATGTACTTCAAGAGCTATGATGTGATAGATTCGGGGTTTTTTTTTTTCATTATTTATGTAATAAGGCAAAGAGTGGTGTCCCATCAACTATGATGACTCAACTTCAAACAAGACATTACTTTTTGATTTAACAGGGATTCTTCAGAGTCTTCGGCAAAGATTTACTACAAAATAGGAAGGCTGTGAGAACTAATGAGCACATGTCTACACAGCACATGGTAAAGGCAAGGAGAAAATAGGAGTCATCCTTGATTCCTCCCTATCTCACCCCCATGCAATTATCAAGCTCGGTGGATTAATAAACTAACTATCTCTCTATCCCCACTACCTTATCCTAGACAAAGTCACCATCACCAGGAATTGGCAAACTACAGCCTACAGGCCAAATCTGGCCTGTCACCTGTTTTTGCAAGTAAAGTTTTATTGGCAAGACCATTCATTTATATATTGTCTTTGGCTATTTTCATGCTACAAAGGCAGAATTGAGGAGATGTGACTGGCCCACCAAGTCTAAAACATTTATTATCTGTCTCTTTACAGATAAAGTTTGCCAAACTTGGCCTAAATAGGCTATTAAATAATCCTCTAACTAGTCTCTCTAACACTCATTCAATTCACTCTCCAAACAGCACTCTGAGTGAAAAGTTTTAACAACACAAACTTGATCATTCATTCTTCTGCAAAGATAAACCCAAATTCCTTATGGTAACTCCTGTAACTTTTCCAACCTCCCATCTTGCCACTACCCTTTATGTTCCAGTTATTCTATTTTAATCTCTCCAAACTCACCTTGCTTTAGCCTTTGGGCTTTCAGCATATAATATTTCTCCCAAATGGGATACTCTACCTTTCTTTAGCTAACTCCAGGGACCCTTCAGGGTCTCTATGTAAATGTCATTTTCTCCAGGAAGCCATTCCTGACCCCTTGGGCTGGAATTCAGTGGTCCTGCATTCCTTCATCACTGACCTTGTTATTAGACTCTAACGCATTTTAATTGTCAGGCCAGATCAAGAGCCATATGAGGGCAGAGATAGGCTCTGTACTGTTAACTATGATACATATGATATCATACATAACATATCATACATATGATAGTATGTATGAGGTATTTATAAAATCTTGGTTCAAATTAATTTCTCCTTTGCATCATGTTCTGAGAATTCAAAGAATTTTTCTCAGAGATTTATCAAAAACAATCATACCATTTTAGGCAATGAAGATAAGTCATGTATTACCATAGCAGAATAATTTGATACCAAAATCTGAAAACCTAGAAATCTACAGAAAAAACTTCTAAGCCCAACTATTTACACCATATGCATTTTAGTATATTACTGGAGAAAACCTTGATCATCAGAGCTTACCATTCTAGACCATATATAATGAAAACAACAAAAATAATGAAACTAAAAAAAAGTATTCTCCTAATACCTGCTCTTCCCTCTCCTTTTCTTTGGTCTTACTTCTGTAGACTCTAGCAGAGGTGGCATCCTGGGTTGGAATGGCAGAGATCTGATGCAGTGGCATGCTCATCCCAGCCTCCTGTCTGGTTGTCTTCTTTACTGAAGAGAGTCTCCAGTGGTAGAGTCATTTTGGGCCATGGACCTCAAGCTGAGAGGGAGAAGACAAGACATAACTGAGCTAAAACACTTCAAATTTCCAACAGTGACATTAGCATTTTATATTTATATTCGAAGCAGTTACAATGTCTGATATAAATACTCGGTATTCAAAAAAAACCAGAAGGTAAACATTTTATGGGGGCAATTTTGACATTTTTCTCATGTAATAAGATGGGAACACCTGAAAGAGTCTGTGCATCAGGTACATGTATAATCAGATATTAATTTTCCATTGGCCATTAGGTTTTAAACAGCAGTGCCATCCTTTATTTTAAGAATATTTCTGAAGTTAAATTTTTTTCTTGAAAAAGCACTCATTCTGATAGAAGTAGTGATCTTTCCTTAAAACCACTGCCCTTGAATTCACATAATGGTAGGATTAAAGGTTAAAAAGTCTAAAATAAATCTAAAATATCTATGATCTCTGCTTAACCTTCTGAAAGTCTAGACTCTCTAGACCAGGGCGCCTGGGTGGCTCAGCTGGTTAAGCGACTGCCTTCGGCTCAGATCATGATCCTGGAGTCCTGGGATCGAGTCCCGCATAGGGCTCCCAGCTCAGCGGGGAGCCTGCTTCTCCCTCTGACTCTATCCCCTCTCATGCTGTTTCTCACTCTCTCTCTCAAATAAATAATAAAATCTTAAAAAAAATTAGACTCTCTAGACCAGTTGTTGGCAAACTTTTCCTATAAAGGGCCAGAGAATAAATATTTTAAGGCATTGTGGGCCATATTTTTTTTTTCCAAATTACTCAAATCTGCTGTTGTAGTGTGAAAGCAGCCACAGTAAGTGTGTAAATGAATGAGAATGGTTATGTTCCAATAAAACTTTACTTACAAAAACAGGTGGCAGGCTAGATTTGGCCCAAAGCCCGTAGTGCTAACCCTGTTCTAAGGAACTTTCCGGGGAAGATGAGGGTCATCATGGATATTCCTGGGATCCTAAGAAGGCTGCCCTTAGGTAAAATAATAGTTTCTAAATAAGTGATTCTAGGCCCACCTGCCTTTTTTCTGGTTTTCTCCTACATTCCTCCAAAGTCCCTGGTAACTGGATTGTATGTTTTCTATCCCCACACTCTGTCCCCACTGAAATTTATCAAACTCTGTATACAAAACCAATTATATACCCAAATTATCCATAACGTTTAATGTAGCAATGTTTCATGCTATTTGAATTTTAACAAAGGATGGAAGCATTAAACCAAAGATTGAATCTCTAATTTGGGGTTTTTCACTTACTAACCATGTGTTGGAGGGTGGGACAATAGCCAGGGAGTGTAAACAACAGGGCCTAACAACTCTGAGGTCTTGTTTGATGAGTAGCAATTTATTCTGCCCAACCCTAAGGTCACATCTTAAGGGCAGCCAACTATTCCACCTCTCCCCAAACTCTGCTCTGGACTAAAAGTAGGTGTTTGTGTGGCTGGCCCCACCTCTGGCAGTATTACTAACAAAACCAATGAGCAACAGAACTCACAGAATTAATTTCTTTCATCAGATTCTCTGATCAACAAATAACACGAAGGAATAAGAAACTGGAAGGGATCAACACTATGAGAAAATGAATGAAAAGAATATTCTTTTTAAAAGTTTAGTGTTCTAGCTTTTCGGTGGAGGAGTAGGGTACCCTATTTCAACTGGCCCCGGAATTGAGCTGGATATCTACCAGACCACTCTGAGCATCCATGAAACCAGCCTGAGATGTAAGAAGATCTGGATCTCTACAAACAGAATATCGCAGGTGGTTGGTTTTGAGGTACAAAGCGGGGAGCCGTGATTCTGCAGGCAGATATCGGAGGATAAACGGCAGCGGGAGGGTGGTTGGCATGGGGATCCTACACAGCCGGTGAGTGACAGTCTAGTGTGCTGCAGACGGGGCACAGGCTCGCAGACCGGTAGCGGCGGGGAAAGGACTTTAGGGCAGCCCCCGGGGATGGAAACCCGGAGCGGTGGGGTCGTGCTTGCAAACTGCAGCCCCCGGACGGAAACCCGGAGTGGCGGGGTCGCGCCTGCGAACTGGGAGCGGCTGGCGGTTTTAGAAGCACAAAGGACAGAGACATGCCCCGACCTGGAGGCAAGACTGGGAGCGCTATGGAGGGGCGCACAACCCAGGCCGCTTTTATAGTTTATAGCAATTTTGCAGTTTATAGCAGCACAGACAGAAACCGAGACGGTGTGGCCTGCAGAGCTCACTGAAGAACAGACTGCGATCTCTCTGCTCTGAGGCAGAGGGTTGGAAACAGTCTCTTCTGCTCTGACTCGCGGAAGAGATGCGGAAAGCCACCAGGGAAAGGCGCCAGAGAACAAAAGCCCCAAAAACTGATTCCTGCTGAGCCCATCCCCCGCCACAGGGGGGCAGGGCAACT